TACCATCCCGAGAAGTTAATTGTACTTGCATAAATGGATGGATATAGAAAAAAAATCTACAATTTTTATCCTTTGAAACATCTTCATAAAAAATCTCAAGATGTTGTCCTATTATGAATTCTGACCTTCTGAATGAATTATTAACCTCTTACAACACTCACTTTATGGTTTACTTTGGTAATCCATGATTTTCTTGCACCATTAACATGTCTTATTAAACTTTTAGGTGATCTATGAACTCTTTTGTGAACATGCCTGTAAGTAAATCAACAAGAGCCACTTGTTGATTCTTTCCTCATCTCTATTTTCAGACTCATTTTTATCCTTTGCAAGATCATTCATAAAATAATGATGGATGCACTATAGTTAGAAAACATGATGTAGAGAGAGCTTCAACATTGGCCGTGAGTTTTGGCAGCCAATTGGTGATGACAAACAAACTCGTCAAATATTTTAAAACTCCTATACATTCATTGATTATTGACCTCCATCCAATGCATAAGTATTTACTCCACATATTTCTCGAAGTTTTCCCTTAATGCTATACAAACTATAATGAATCCTTCAACTATGAACTAGTGCTCTGATATTGAAATATGATATGAAATTACTGTGCATAAGGCTATTAGAACTGATAGGAAACTAAAAAAAGGTATAGATCTTCTTATGGAGACTTAAGATTTGTTAGAGGTTTCTCTATCCTAACCAAGAGGAGAGAGGAAAATACAACAAAACTTGCATGGACATTATTACTTTGGGTTCAGTCAAAACCTGGAATAGCATGCCAAAGGCGGAAGAGAGGGAGAGAGAGCTAGAGAGTGAGCAAGCAAGCGAGAAGTTTGACGAAATGAATGGCATTAAACTTAGTTATTGCATTATAAGGCTCATAATTATTGAAAAAAATAAGAGTCAATCCATGTATATTAACAATTCTAACAAAATGTATTAATTTAAAAATTTGTATTCTAAATTTCCTACATCAAATCAAATCTTGTTTAGCATCCCACAAAATAGTCAACAACTCCAATAGATTTTACCCTTGAAAGGTGGTTAGATACATAAAACAATGGAGAAGATTTTATGAGGTGATTTTTTGAGTCTCCTTAAGTCACTCCACATAAATTTCCCCTAATGCTATGATAGTCATCCCCACATAGCCCCCCAATAAAGAATAATTTCAGTACTTTAAAAACCCTACAAAACTAAGAAGTTTACATTACAAATAAATCTACAAGCAACGCATAAAATTCATTAAATATGAAATTAATAATCAAGTAATATAAAGGCTCGTCTTAATAATATTTAGTGAGAAAAAATACCCACCATGCAGATCAACATCATCTTACAAAATAATTAAAAAGGTTGAGCAGCAAAGAATGTACCATCAGCATAAAAATAAGAGATTATCAACTTTATTTTACCAAAGCAGTATTACAATTAACATAAACATCAAGATTTCAAAAATATACATTAGCTTCAAATTATCTTATCAATTAAAATTTCTCAGTGCGTAATATCTAACTTATCTATTATTTTAATTAAATATAGGCTTGTGTATGTCACAAAAAAAAAACTTTTAGGAATAATAGATAAAGGAAATTTAAACTTACATATATTTAGAGCAAAAAATTTATAGAAAAGTAGGTCTCCTGATTAGTAAGACATGAAAAGCAAATATCTATAAAGTAGAAACCAAACTAAAGAAAATTGCCCCACTCGAAAAAATAAATAAAACAAGATCCTTGAGAGAGTCGATGATGTCAGAGCATGATCATTCATCCCTGATTTGATCTATTAGGAAAGTGTTGCATTGTATGTTTACCTTCTGCATTATTTATGATTCTTAAGTAGTAGAATGTTATCTCTATTTTCATGCTCGTCATCAGTCTATTTTGCTTCAATATTTTATTCCTCATGTATGATCTTTCATATGTATATTGAATGATTCCTTAAGCTTGTATTCATAAGATTATTATTATAGTTGAATAAAATCATGGTTCTCTCAAAAGCATCTCCCTAGCCCTATTCAACCTCCGCCTACTTTTTTAGGGAATTGTATTCACCATCCCCTGTCTTTCTATACTTAAATCTACCACTTCTCTCTTTAAGTCCACAACAAGCAAAAGAAGGTGAAGTAATGTTAAGTTGTTCCCACTCCATTTTAGTTTCCTCGCCGATCTAAGTTGAGTCAATTCATCTAGAAGACATGCAAGTCCCAAAACAAGGTTTCTTCCTTCTCACAAATTGGTTTCCTCCCTGCCACTTTTAAATGCCTCTGTATTACTAACCTCTCTGTTTTTCTTCCCCACTTGTCTCCAATTTTGATTTTTCCCTCTCCTTGGAACTAGCATTCTTCACCTCAAAAAACCGTTGCTTAGTTTCTCTCTAAATGCACAATATCCTCTCCCTAAATGATTTACGCATTTACTGTTCCTTTGAAATTTGTCATCTCAGGAATCCCATTCTTCCTTTGATATCTCACCTAAAACGATCTACCCTCTTAACTGTAAATTCTCCTCTTTCTCACTCTTGTCCTCCCTTATGTAAATCTAAAACTAAATCCCCTCTTTTATTTCTCCCACATGATGCATATGACCAATATAATTAGAACTCTAAATCACTGATTGGAGTTATAACAATGTTTTATTCACAAAATTTGTTCAATAATCACTCAAATTATAATCAACTCAAAAAAAATAATTTAATTTAATAGGAGAACGATTTATGTTCATATACATTAATATGTCTATAGATGTTTCGGTTCATATATCTACATAACCACATAAGCAATATTAAACAGACATAATTGTGTGTAAGTGTGTGCATGTATCGGGGTGCATGCATTGGTTTGGGCACATATGCATGTTTATGTGGCTTTGCATCCTCTAATCTCAGCTCAAAATCATAAGGTTCAAACTTTAATAGAGGTTGTGTCTCCTCTTGAGTACACCTTTATATCATACTTATCTCAATCAAGTTATGTTTACAATGGAAAGCATAAATCATCAAAATGAGCAGTACAGCATCCATGGCTACACTTCTTATGCCTATGAACTTGCAAATGTTTATAGAAATCATTCTAGGTTTCATAACGCATATCAATATGCCTCCATCGTATAATGGTGTGTATGCTTCCAATCATCAAATTTCTAGTGCTCATCAAAAGTCACTTTTGCTCCACTAGTTTTTTGTTTGTCTATTTGTTCACTTGTTTACACACGCAGGGGCAAGCACAGATGCACGGAATTTCGTGTAGCATTGAATTAACATGAAATTTGACTCAATATCAAAATACTCAAGGTCTAACTGATGTTAAGTTCACTCTAGAACTCAACTTGATAACGCTATTACATTATGCTTATCATACAAAACATAAATTTTCAAAATGACTTTTATGAGAGCCCAAATTACTCTTCTTATGCCTATGAGCAGGTTAATTGACCTCATTTTAGGTTTCATAAAGCATACTATACCTAACAATATAATGATGCCTATGATTCCAGCCATCAATTTTATTTGGTGGCACTTCAAAATCCATCCCTTCAACACAAGTTGAATAATATATACCCGAGAAATAATTTTACAAATAATAGCCAAAGAACTGGAAAGTCAAAAGTTTGAAGGCAATTGGCCAAATGTATGAATGTGTTTGCACAAGTTCAACCATTTGAACATCCAAAGTTTTACTGGTAAATTCATTTGGTTTAATTATTGGTTCGATTGAATATTATGAAGGCGTAAAACTATTCTTTGATGAAGAATTTGATCTTCAGTTAAACTATCAGGCATGTATTGATTCTGCTACACTATTGCAACCACTGCATGTTAAATGTCCACCTCAATTTTCCCCACTAATCATCAAACCATTTAGTTCGTAACAAATAAATGTGAATAATATGGTGATGATATCCACCAAAGCCGCTGAATTCATTCATGATCTTTAAAGTTCACCTAGGAGTTCTTGTTTCAATAAGGATTGTAAATAGATCGGTCCTGCCTCCTCTACCGCTGTGGCATTCATTCACTTTTCAACTCTTCCGGTAGGGCTCCTTATGGTCGAAAAGGGAATTGATGTAGAAGAATGAACATTCTTCGACTTAAACAAGTTAAGGCAATAGAGCAAGCGATCTATCCTGGACCAAAGTATCCTCGAGTACATTAATGCTTTCCCCGATCTTTAATCCTCCATTGTGCAATAGCCTTGATGGTCATTCCCCGTCACAGATCACCTTCCAAACAATGGAAGTGGTGTGGTTATGCCTGTTATGCCAAAGTTGTAATAACCACATTAATATAATAAAATAAAATAATAAAAAATATTAATAATCAAACAAAAGCATCCATTCGTTACGACTTAAAGAGTTGTATATCCGTTTGAACCAACCAAACTGAGAGAGAGAGAGAGAGAGTCGGAACGTGGACAAGAAGCATGCATCCTATGGAGAAGGAAGCCATGACAGTAAAGAAGAGAAGAAGAAGAAGAAGGATTGTGTTTCTTCTCTTACCCGAGACTCGACCCTGTGTGTGCGAAGGAAGACTGGAAGCATTCTACATTATGTGTATTTGCTACATAGTTTATGTTCTGTTAGCTTATTTCATATGCAGTGCCATGATGGTCATTGGTGTATTATTTTTTACTATTGCAATCGTAATGTTACAAGCACTTAAACACAAAGGGGTTCCCTATGCCATTTTTCATAATTGAATGAAATCTTTTCTCCTACTAGAATCCCCCTCAATTCCACGCAGGTCTGTCTGAAACTTCCATCTCTATCTCTCAATGTCTTTCTTAACACTCTAGGTTCAATCCTCCACTTGGGTTTAACTTAACAAAAAATGGTTAGCCCAAAAGTGACTAAACCTAAAATTTAAGACAGTAATGATTCATAAAGTTAGGGTAAAAGATGAATTTTGCAGGATTGCTTCAGCATTGAAAAGGCAAACAGCATAAAAATAAGACATAAACGCAAAATGGCACCCTCAAGTAGAAGCATGCATACCCTTGACATTGGACAGCCATTAGACTTCCTTTTATTGTAACCATCAGAATGAACCTTATTCTTTACCCTCGATGTCATTACCTATTAAGCAAAGTTAATATCGCAGTTGATTAGAAGAACAGAATTCATTATGTGCCCAATTAAATGCTTTCAATGCTTTCATAAAGCTAAGAGACGTAGCGATGTTACCTTTGTCATTTGAAGTGATTGTTCAAGTTGCTGAATCTGAATCCACTGCTCGTTAATAATGTTTTGCATCTGATCATAAGACAAATAGTGCGCTAAAGCTTTGTTAACGTACCCCTTGGAGTTTAACGCCAAAACTAACTATCATTTTTAAATTGAATGCTGCAAGTGGCGGTCTATTGTTTATAAATAAATTGCGAGTAACAATCTTACCCATTGTTGACTTCAGCCTAAGAGTCTCATTTTCAATCACATAATTACAATTCTTTTATCAGTGATTCAATGCTATCAAAACAATGGTTTGCTAAAAATTCGATAGATTATTTAGCAAACAGCCAAACATACAAATGATGAACGAGTACTATTAGTTTAGTAATTGATTAACCTAATGTCCCAAGAATAATGAAAACATCACTTAAACTAAATTAAGAATTATTTATGCCAAAACAAAAGTTTTTTTTATTATCAGGATTGGGTCAATTGGAATGCACACTTCAACCATTAACAAAGTCTTATTGGTAATTGGCTTGAAGCCCAATTTAGGGGCAGCTATTGATTATCGATAAGCTACTGCAGCTTAGCTGCCCCAGGAAGCTGCTACGGGGAAGCTGGCTGGTGGTTTGTATTCTGCGGTTTGAAGTTAGCTGTTTTTGGAAAAATAACTATTTTGCCCCTGTGTAGTATTGTTGTTTGTAACAGAACTGTTCTAGTCATATATTCAATACTTCAGAAGCAAAAATTCACTTTAGAATGATACAAAAATCCAGATAAACACCTCAAGCAACAGTGAGTATCAAGTATGCTACAAAAAAAAAAAAAAAAACTATCAAAATTATAATTAATAATATGACATCAGACCAAAACTATCAATATGCCCAAGGCCACCAATAACTCACTCAAACTTATCTAACATCAAATTGTTGATTACATCCCCAAGCCACATCCTCAAAAAAATTCTATTTTTTCATATAATTTACCAAACCAAAAATCGAGCCACCAAGAACTCACTCAAACATCAAGCATTCAGATCCATACCATCGAACAGTATTTACATATCTAACATCAAAAATTCAAAAAACAAGCATTCACATGGATACTTGCATTCAAAGAACGGTTCCTGAAATTTCTGTTGCTAAAAAAGTGTTTACCGTTGGGAAACAGAGGAGAAAGAGGAGGAAGAGGAACTAGATAGCCTGCCAGAGAAAGTTAGGTAAAGAGGAGGAAGAGAAGCAAGAGATCGCAGCTTTGCAGAGGAGTTCGATACAAGGGTTAGAGCGGACGAATCGCAAAGAAGAGGAGGGCACCACCCTAAAAAAATCGAACCCGCGAGCTGTGTTTTACAATAAACGCGCAGCACCACTGGCCTATCGCCGCCCCCAAACACTGAAAACTCATGGCAGCGAGCTACGCCGCTGGCCTACCGCCTCCCCCCTTTTATGATAAAAGCGTCGCGCCACTGGCCTACCGCCGCCCCAAAAACTAAAAACTCGCGGCAGCGAGCTGCACCGCTGGCTCACCGCCTCCTCGAACAGGGCTAATCTTCATTAAATAATAACGTGATAGCAAATCATAAGTTATACATTATTCAACACATTTTAACATTAAAGAAAATGGTAATATCCTCTTGACTTAGGCAAGTTGTATAAAAAAATGATCTTAATATATTAGAATTAAATGAAATATGACACTCAACAAGGCACAATGGAGCAAAAGGATTCATGTAGCCGACCTCACTTAGTAGGATGAAGGTTTGTTGTTGTTGTTGTTGGAATATTAACGAAAATGTTAATATCATTTTGGTAGCAAAAGTGTAATAATATTTACTAGATTGGTACTGTAATTATGAATGGAAAAAATTAAGTTTTTTTTTTAAATATACCATAGATGATGCTTGGTTATGGCATTGGAAGGCTATAACATGCAAAAATGCACATATTATAGAAATTTTCAAAATTAAATCCAACAATTAGATTATCAAACCATGTTTTCTTTTTTATTTTCATCATGCTTGTGATACCCCAATGTATGATAAACAAACCAATAATTCATTTATGAGCAATTTCTTAGTGACCACAATTAAATTAGTAAAATTATTTCACACAAATTTATTTGGAAATATTAGTATTAGATGCCTCAAAAAAAATCATATGAATTTTTTATAGTACATGACAAATCAAAATTCACTCAAATGACATTCCTTGTAAATAAACATGAAGCATTTAATATTTTAAAAAAATGCAAATTGTATGCAGACTAATCGAGGACATATGATATATAGGATTTGGATAGATAATGATGAAGAATTTGAAAATAAATTATTTAAATATTGTTATGAATAAAATAAAGTTAAAAATAATTTTATGACACCTAGCACTCCCCAACAAAATGAAGTTACAGAGAAGGAAAAAAATATAAATTCAATAGAATTAGTCTAATCTATGCTTAATGAATATAGTCTATCAAAATATTTTTGAGCAGTTGTAGTGTTATTGCAAGTTATGTGATCTATAAAGTTAATTTTAAATCAATCTCAAGAAAATATCATATAAATTATTACGAGGAAAGAAATCTAAGATGGATCATGTACATGTATTTGAATATAATTATTAGATTATTAATAATGAAAAAGAATAATTAGAAATTTTTTATAGAAAATCCAATGATGGATTGATACAGTTCCAAAGTTCCTGAAGATGTTTAGAAAGTGAATTAGCAGGAAGTTGGTTGTGAAATTGTAACAGGATAAGAATGTGGAAGTTCGACAATGTTTGGAAAGGGATAAGGATTTTTGGTGGTTGTCCAAACTAGAGGTAAGGCTTCAGTCAGTTTGGATGAATCGATTTTTAAATTGGTAAAATTGATTACAATCAAAATCTGAAATCCAAAATCAGAAAAAACAAACCAACCAAAAGTTCAATAAAATTGAATCGATCGAACCAAAGTTTACATCAGTTTAAACGATTTGGTTATGAACAACTGAAATTTTGTTGGTTAGAGCTTGGTTATAAATAAACATCAATAATTACATATCTTCAATGTACAATATCAATTCAATTTCATAAATCCTCCATTTAATTTTGATTTTTTTTGTTTATGTGTTTGTCCGATTAAATGAAAATTATAACCTAGCCAAAAACCGAATATTAAGACTTTAAAAAACGAGAACCAAAATGCATTTTTGAAACTGAACTGAATCGACCAAACTTGTTCTGTTCAATTCAGTTCAGTTTTATTGTTTTAATCAAATAATACACACCACACCTCTAGTCCTAACTAAAAACAACGGTTGAATGGGAGGTACAGACGGCGAGAAGGTTTCAACATCTATTCATGAGCAAGCTACTTACAAAAAGAAGAGGATACAACACTTATTGGAATAGTAAACTAGATAATAAAATCTCCAAATGCATAAAACAAAGCAAAGGTTCTCCAAACAAAAAAAAACACATATAAATAGTCTACTAATTGGAAATAAGCTAATTAGAAAGAATAAAATAGGAAAAATTTTCAGAAAAAGAAAAAAAAATGGGTTGAAATAAAAAAATCGGGTGTCATTGCCATTCGGCACCCACGACTGCGGGATTTTTCATGATCTCACATAATCTCGCATTCACTGGATCATTTCGCGACACACGGAATCCTATGATCCTACGAGAAGCTCCCGCTTCATGGATATTTTTAAAATATTCAAATGTTATAAAAGCTAATAGATTTCGCCGAAGAAAATTATTTGTATAAGACATAATTCACATTACCTTTGATGAGTACTAAAATAATCTCATTTGGGATGACACAAAAAATGAAATTAAATAAATAACTCAAAAAATAATTTTGAGATACAACTTTGCATAAAATGAAAAAAAAAAATTTAACCAAGTCATCCTAAGAATTTAATTATATGCAACTTATCTTCAATAACTAAGATTAAAGCATACCAGGAAGGAGGTGGATAACTTAGCATTGATATCAAATGTGAAGCCTAAGATAATTGATGAAGTTTTAATAAATAATATTTGGATCATTACGATTTAAAATGGGATGAACCAATTTGATAAAAACAATGTGCAAAAACTAATCCTAAAATATCAATAGAGATAATTGTTTTCGTATGCATAAATTGAGAGGGGGAATCCAAATAAAATATAAAATATTTATTTACCATATAATTAAGATGTCATTTTTTATTCTAATTAAATCACTAGATAACATATGTTTGCCATCATCAAAAAGAGGATATTCTTAAGCCCATAAACCTAAAATGCTCATGAGTTTAATAATAAGCATATGGTTGAAATTTCTAACTATTCATCTTGAGTAATCTCATGACGAGTTTATTCATATCAAGGTGTATATATGAAATAAATGTAAGAAAAGAAGTCTATGTCTGCTTATTGACCAAATCTAGAGCTAAAGTTGATCAGGACAAGGCATTAAAATCCTAAAGAATCATTAGAATTAGAAATGTCATAATTGCAAAAAATGACTCAAGCTCAAATTTTAACCAACTGGTTTTATAAACTCAAATCATAATTAAAATTAAAATATCTCAATCCCACCTTATTCTTGGGCACTTGAACTTTTGGTGAAAATTCTCGAAATTTCTTCTCAATTATTTTCAATGTAAGACTATCTTCTTAATGAATTTTTTAGCTTATAAAATATTTTTCAAAGTAGAGTAACTCAAATAGCAACTAACATTTGCAAGAGTTCAAGTAATCTAGTGATCATAAAGTTTATAATGTACCTTAATTTTTTGTTCATTTTTTTCCCAGCTAAATTTCTTTTAAATCAAGCTGTTATATCTTAATTTTTACTTTTTCGTACAAAGTTTTATGAAACTTTCTATGCCATTAGTTAAATTGTTATAGCCTAATTTTTTTGATAGCTCTTGCTCATCAAGAGAGAACATAAGTTGTACGTCGGGTTGTCAAAAATGTTTGTCGTTAACAAACAGCTCGTATTCGGCTCGTTAAGTGACTCGTGTTCAATTCGTTCGTTAAATAAGCAAGCCAAACACACATTTTTTTAGCTCAATTTATAAACAAGTCAAGCACAAATAGGCCTTTATTCAATCATGTTCAACTTGCTTTAGCTCGAATTAAATAAATAATTAAAAAATAATATTATAACCTCTTTATATTATCTTTTTGCAATTTAAAAAAAAATACATATAGAATTTATTATTTTTAAAATTATTCAAGCTAAATTTGAGCTGAACATGACTGAAACGAACAAATGAATATGATTAGAGCTGAACAAGTACACATTATTCACGAGTTGAACAAGAACATATTATTCACGAGCCAAATATTGTTTATTACTATATTCTATCTTGCATTTTGTGTCATTCATTGAATTGAATAGATTTATCAAAAAAAATTTAACAGTGAGTTGCTACACACCTCCTTACTTATTAATTGATGCATTTGCTCACAGTAGAGTGCATATAGATAAGATTAGGAAAACACCACAATGTTAGGCCTTGCTAATAATTCTTTTGTTAAGATTATTTTGCATTGATATAAATATTTCAAATCTAAGAGATTTCAAGAGTTATTAAACATAGAGTTCAATGTAGTTTGAGTATAAACAAACCTGTTCAACTTTTGAAGCTACTTCTTCCACTTTTTTCTCTGCTTCCAATGTTCTAGACTCTAAAACATGAATATTGAAATTATTCCTTCTAGGCTCATCCCATAGTTGTGGCACCTAGAAAATTATCACCAAAGACAAAAAATTTGCAATCAAGCAATGACTATGGATACAAGAAAAGGGTAATAATTTGCAATCAAGCAATAACTAGGGATACAAGAAAAGGGTACAGATTGACGTATATGTGGCTCAAAAAAATTAACTTAGGAGCATGCATGTACAAAGTCAGGTGTAACGGAGGCAAAGATGAGACACCTAATCATCCATAGCTTTAACATTTCCATTAAAAACTGAGGACCCATCATATGAGAGCTGCAAAACGCAGTTCACTAGATGAATAAAAGATGAATAAAAATTAGCAAGGAATTAATGCCTCATTTAAATTCGGCTAATGCTCTACCACTTGAAGGTTCTTAAAAAATTAGATTTAAAAAAAAGCTTTATGAGCAATAAAAAAAAAGTGCTTAATTTTCCACAAAAGAAATATGAATTAAATTTTCCATATTGATACTTTTTTTGGGAGAAACTGTACAGCATTACCTATAATATTTACTTTGACTGCGGACACAAGAAAAAGTTTCAATAAGAATTTGTGGTTACAGATTTCATCATCAAATAAAATTTAAAGTATCCCTCTACTTGAAGCCTCCTTGAATACAATTGATCTAACAACTTCCACTCTTAATCTCTTGTAGTTGACTTTGTTGTTCACCCATTACGATATTACAAATATTGCTAAAGATCAAGCCCTTAATAATAATAATTCACTTGGGATTCTCTCAACAAGTAATCCATGAGCAATAATCTACTCTAAATCGCGATTTTAATAGCTTCTAGAGTATGAAAGCAAGTCAAGGATATTGATTGTATTAAGCTAGTCATCATATCAGTAAAATTAGAACAAACTGAGGATGATTAGTGTGGGCAAGTAATGGTTTAGTGAAATTTAAACAAGCTTAATAGTGCCATGATATATGTTGTGGCCTACGATTAACACTCTTGATGAAAGTTTCATCTATTTTTTAGGTCTTTCAAAAGGGCTATGAAGGGTATCTAGGCATTGGTAATATTGTAGACTAGAGGTAGTTCAGGGATGGATAAATATAGATTGGCCTAGAGAAAGATTAGGTCAAACTTGAGAGCCCCTACGTTCAACTTTGGGGATTTTATGTGAGAGAACATTGCAACTCCAAGCGTTGGGATCTCTTGAATGGTTAAGATAATGAGTCTGTATGAAATCTAAAGTGTTCCATAATTTTTAGGGGTTTAGGGTTAGGATCAAAGGCTAAGAATACTTATCTAGTGCAAAAATTTAAGTATAAATTCAATATGGAGTTAACAAAAATTTTTTAATTGTTTTAATTATTCAACTGGTTAATTGAGCAAAAACTAAGTCTCCTATGTTCAACTTGCGACCAATAGCCTCCAGCAAGGTTTTAATTGGACATTTGTAGAAGATATGATGAAATAATTGTATGGTTATGAAGGAGAGAATTAGTAGAAAAGTTATACAGCAAAAGAAATCAGTAGTTTCTTGAAAGACATAATCATATCACTCACTAAAGTGACTAGGTTGGAAAAGATAACAAACCACTTTGATTGAGTAGTCCGCCACCTAGAGTCCTCTCTTGGAAATAATTCTGATTCTTCAAAAAAGAAAACATTAATCCCTTCTTATTTTGTTTCAAAAAAAATACTTAAACTATTTTATATTAACCCATTTTAAATAGCACAAAAAGACAGAAGAGAAAAGAGTGGCCACCTACTTGTAACTAGGGGAGTGAAGTTATTAACTATCATGAACCAACCGGCTCTAAGTGTTTTACCAAACCGCACTAAAGTGAAAATTTGTATGTTTTCACTACTTTTTGCAAGCAAGCAATTTTCAAATAAATGTAAAAAATATTTCCTCAGTATTTGAAAATCTAAACTTCAAATTTTCAAAGTAATGATTTATTGTAATTCAAATGTTAAAATTTTACATATGACCATCAATTCAAATTACAAATGCATGGTCTTGAATACTGATTATATATTATATAAATTATAAATCCAAAGTGGATTTCTTCATATTGTTCCTTGTTATGGGCTCTTGATCAACTATAGTTTTCTTCTTGCTTTGCGTTCTGCGGTTGGTGACTTGATTTCTCCATTTTACCTTGAACCATATCAATATTTTTTATGCTAAATTCAATTCAAAACAATTCCAATTGTTTCATGCTAAAAAAAGCTAAATTGGAGAACTCAAGTACAAATAACTAGAACGTAAGACCATAGCAAGTTCGATAAAAGCAAGGAATAAAAGCAGCATACACTACAAATCAAGTTCAGAAATAGTTCCATAATGATCCATACAAATATCCATGCAGAAGTTTGGGAAATTTTCAGCGTCATGTCATTGCGATGCAGTTATACAGGGTGTTTGGCAGCATATTTCTAACCAAATTTAGTCATGAATTTAACGTAGATCTAGCTAAATATTAAAAATGTGAAATTTAAATCCCGCGCTCCGTGAATATTTGTTGGTTCAATCTAATTTTCGATGTAAACATGGATTTACTAAATCCATTCACATACGGATTTAAGAGATTTGGCTCGCGAGCATTTCTCCGTTTATCGAATTTACTAAATCTTACTTCACATAAATTCAGAACGAAACCAAACACCACCTTAATGAGATAGAATTAGGGTTTAACCACAACTATGAATTACAATTAATATTTTTTTCTAATAACTAATTGCTCCTCCAAAAAGAAATGTATTTTGTATTTATATATTTAACAATTTAATTTTTAAATTTACTTATATAATTTTTTAGTGTCATAATCATATCAAAGTAGATATGAACAGTGTGTTTCGCTTTTAAAAGTATAATATTAGTGTATATCGAAAACATAACCTCACGAATCTTGCGAAAATTCAACAGATCACACTAAGAATATTCTAAATGATTGCATCGGAGCAGTCAAAAAATAAAGGCGTCAAGCATCATTTCATGCATTCAGAATCATGGGCAAGCCGAAGAAAAGTATAGCCGAACAAATAAATATTATGCAACCGATCTAAGGGACAGTCGTGTGCAATCAACTCCCCCAACCCATTTGGAATCCTTCACAAAGAGAACTAACGGTCTCTCCCTAGAACATCTTCCCAACTGCCTGATGGTATAATTTTATCCTAACAATAAGGTCTCTGCGAGGATTCTCTCGAGAAGGTAGACCGAAAAGCTCTATTTTCCTTAATAATATTGTGTTCACTATATTGTCCTTTCTCCCTATAATATTTTCATATGTCCAACGCTCTGTTCCTTGGATGTGATCCACAGGGCATTTTTGGATTCAACATCAAAAAAGGTGCGGTGAGTATGAAGTCATGTCGTCAACAAGAAGATGAGTGCGTCACGGAGAAGGAACTCATTTGGGGAAAAATTCTAACATGTAGTCCGTCAGAAAATTTGTGCAATAACGAATTCAGGAACTTCAAGACCGAAAGCGAGACAAATGGCAGAACTGACCCATGATGTACTTGAAGGGAGAGCACAAGCTCCTCCGGAACCAAATCCTCGAGCGCCTGAACCCCAAGGTTGTTAGACGACTTAAGAAGCCGAACAAGACCCATTGCCAAGATAGTGGTGGGTTTATAGCAAGGATTATACAACCGGGGGAAATAATGGAAGTCCACCGTCGGCCAGAACGGATTCTCCCGACAAATTATTGATGCATAGCCCCCTAAGAAGTTCAAGATTCCATCCTTGGAACTCTACAAGGGTGGGAGCGATCTAGTCAATCACATAACATCATTTGAGTCAATTATATGTCTTCTCAGAGTTTCTGATGCATTGAAGTGCTTGTTGTTCTATACCATACTGAGAGATTTAGCCCTCAGGTGCTTCAATGGCCTTCCGCCAGAAATTATTACTTCAGCAAATTCAAGAAATTATTCACAGCACAGTTTGCTAGCGCCCAAATAGCAAAGGCCGCCCTGGCACAAGAGCTAAGAAGATGCTAAAAGTGCGAAATCTGGAGCAAGCAATAGCAAAGGCCACCCTGGCACAAGGGCTAAGAAGTGCACAATTTAAATACTTTCTAGGTTTACATAAACCCAAAACTTTGGCCTAACACTTGAAATTGACCAATAATCATTTTTGCGGCAGAGGAATACATCAGCCCTTCTTATCCAAAGGGCAAAAAATCCGACAGCCGCTTAGAAAAAAAGGGCCCAAAAGATGATGGGTATATGGAAAACGATGGCCCCGTCCCAAATGGGAGAGAGGTTTATCGTCTCATGGTGACAAAGAGGCCAACAGAAACTCATGAAGACGAAGTCAATCAAACGATTGATCAACTAGTGACAGAGGAACACTAAAATCTACTCAACTGATAGTTTCAATGGCGGAATTTGTAGAAGCTATTCGAGATAAGGACTACTTACATAAGGCTCTATTGATGAGAACCGAAACTTTCCTCTGGAAAATCAAAAAATTCTGCAAATTTCATAAGGATCATGGTCATGACACGGAGCAGTGCAGGCACCTCCGAAGCTTGGTCTAAGAACTGATTCAAGCCGAAAAGCTCAAAGAGTTTGTGGCCCCAGGAGCCTAAATCCAATGGCAAAGGAAAGTACCTATAGAAGATGACTCGAATGAGCCCGTCTGAGTGAATGTTATCCACATTGTAGGGATAGTGTCAGCTATATTGGGTGGAGACTTAGAAGAGCCGAGTGTAAGAGGCTTCGAGCAAAGGAATATTGTGTTGTGGCTTCCGCTTCGAAGTAGAAGCCCCATTTCCCAAGTATCTTTTCTAATGTGGATTTGATCCCCGTGGGAAATCCCTACAACGACACCATAGTAGTAATGGTGATGATAAATAACTACCAAGTAGATAGCATCTAGGTTGATACAGGCAGTTCAAAAAACATACTATTCAAATCATCCTTTTAAAACATGCAACTGTTGGTTGACCGTCTGGTTGCATAGGCCGACCCCTTGTATGGGTTTTTCCGGTGAACGAAAGGAGGCCCTGAATATAATTGAGTTGTCGACCACCTAGTGAGAAGAT